CAAAGTTGTTCCCTATTTGCACATCAGAAAAGTGAAGAAGGCTGTTAGATTAGTGCTCCGAGACAGGCTTAGCGTCTCCGCATCAACTCCGACCTCAACAAACTCATCTATTTTTAATGTTTTTTATCCAACTCCACGACACAGGCAGAATGCTGATTGTCAGGGGCACGAGACAAGGGGGAAAGACATATCTACAGCCTTTCCATTTAAAAAGGGACATACAACATGCAAAATCTAAGTTTCACAGCCTTTGACCATGTTATAGTTGGCTTTTACACAACTCGACTTTGTTCCAGGGTGACTCATTCATGTTTGAGTAATATGACCATCTCCTGAAAGTCCAGACATAATTTCTTTTGCTCTTCCTTTGACCACCACCCCTGGTAATGGGAGTCTTACATCGTTTTCTAATGTTCTGTTATGAATCAAATGTCATTTTTTTGCTCAAAGAACAAAACATCACTTGCTAACTTGGTCTGCAAGTAGAACGGAGCATTTGGATGTGGCCATACTACTGTATAGGGAAGTTATGGTGGGAGTGAGAAAACTACACTTTAATGAAATAAAAAAAGGGAAACATTCTACCTGTTTTGTTTCAAAAAGTTGAGAGGGCGGTTCTTTCCTTCAGTTTTTAGAATCCTGCCATAGGATTTTGATCAAATCAAAGGTGTCCCAGATTATGACTGTAACTGGCCCAAGAATATTATGACTTCATAAAAAGCTGGGTTTTCACCACAATAGAAAAAAAAAAAAACTAAGTAATGAAATGCATTCTAACTTCTCTCCAACTGTTTGGTTTCTATACAAAGTTTGAAAAAGCTACAAGCTTTTTACAAGTAGCTACATGTTTAACAACAATTTGTGAATTAGCTTTGTGCAGAATATACAATATTATGTCTTGTTGGTATTGAGACTTCACAATTTAGAAATGTTTTAATCAATTAACCCTAACCCAAAATGGCTAAATGAAGAGAAAACTTTTGACGGTTCTTGAAACAGGATTTGCCAAATGGAAAAAGAAATACAATGCTTTGCAAGCTTGAAATAAGATTGTTGTTTCAGCATTTGTGCCATTTCAAAATCTTTGTGAAAGAACTCAAATTATAATCAAGATAAAAACCACTTGATCCATTTAGCACACCATTATGTTTACTTTATTTCATCTGTACCAAGGAGTAGCTCACTGCCACTTTTATCCAGAGAAAGAAGCTGGTAGCTGTGGTCTTCCCCATAAAGTACAATTAAAGTTTGTCCAATTTAACATGCTGACAAATATATAATTGTATATCTTTTACAACTGTATAGATCACTAGACAGTTTATAATGATAGATTATATTGACGTATTTAGAGCTAGCTCAGAAACACCAGCAGTTATGTATATTTTGTACTTTGTGGCTCCATCTCTTGCTCTTACTGCTGGACTGTATGTGCGCTGCAACATTGAAAAATTCCCCACTGTTGGGACAAATAAAGGTTCTCTTATCTTATGTTAAATAGGAAGGTATAAAGGAGGATTATCCAAATTTTAGGAAAGAAACCGGCCTCCTCCACTTTTTGAGCAAACTCTCTGGTCTTCTTTGACGAGCACGTGTCACCAGAATGATTAACAATTGGACCAACAAGTCTTGATGATCCACGCGCAAGTAGAACATCCTCCTTTGTACCTTTAGCTATAGTCAAACTCTGGGTCTTTAGAAATGATAGCCCAGGGACACTCATGTCAATCAGACCAGCCCTGGATCAGAGAGGTCGTGTGTATACCTGTTACCAATTTGATAAAATGATGATTACTTTCTGCATAGTGTGTTTTATAAAGCTATCATTAGTTCAAGCTGCCGAGTACAATAGCCTCTGCTTGTGCTGCTTTAATTGTCCTTGCTTAGTAATTTTGTAATGTTGAAGTAGTGTCATGACAAGGTAAAGAGTGGCTCCATAAAATAAAGTAATGGCTTCGATAATTGTCTGACAATTGACTTGAATTTAATTATGTTGCAGTTCATTTATCCCACTGCCATAAAGCACCTTGTTGAGTGCAACAGTCTCCACTGGCATTTTTACGACCAAACAGAAGGCGGCACAATACTACCAACCAGGCAAATTAAAACGTCATGAAGGAATCACATTATTTATTTATTTTTCATAGATTTTTGCAAAATTGCGTTTGGCATTACTTTTTGGATCTTAGTCAGCTCAAAACATTACACAAGTCGTATCTTTTGAAAAAATCAGCCAACCGCTTCTCTTAAGTCTTTATTTATTTATTATACGTTATGGTTTTTGTATCAGGACAACAACACATTGAACACTTGTATAAGTTTTGAGAGTTTTTAGTCAAAATTGTTAAAAGGCCAGATTGTAAAAAACAAAAAAAAATAAACTGCTAATTTACATTTATAGTCCCAGGCGGGTCCCACACAACAGCTTATCTCCGCTGTTGAAAACTATTGTGCCACCACTTTTGCTGTCTATGGGGCCTTTTCAAAATGGCACTCAGGCAGGAAAATGTTGAAAAATAAATTGCACATGCGTTAGCCAGCACCAGCCCCATTCATTTAACGGGGGCATTCAAACGTCCACAGCGGGCTAAAAACTAGACTGGTCAGCATTCACACACAAAAGCAACTTCTGGACACATCCTGTAAGCGTTTTTGATGAGGAAAGAAGGCAGATACAAATAACTGGGTTTAATTCTCTTTCTGGGTACACCCCACCCAGCCCAGAGTGAGATTGCTGGCATGTCAGTGGTGCTCATGGAACCTCTTGGGAGTTAGGACCCGCCCCGCTGGGTCATACAGGTAAAGAATGTAAAGGGGAGATAAGAAAAGACAAAATAAAAATTATACAAATTGCTAATTCTTGTTCAAATGAGTCCAGGTCAGGACCAAGCTCACTTACAGTTAAAAACACTGTTCTGGACCATTTTTTCTTTTTCTTTTATTGATTATTTTTATTATAAGTCAGATTGTTATCAATGTCACTCTTTAAGTCTCTTCCTGAGCCATAGTGGGACGTACAATTATCAAAAAAGTGACCCCAAAAATGATATTTTGGCAAAAGGGCTCAAGTGATACAAAAAGCCTGTAATGCCCTCATTTGGAATATTTTCTGAAATACTAAAAATGGATGTTGTCATATTAAAAAGTCAACTCCTCAGGGCTATAAAGTGGAAAATTGGCTTTTTCCTAACATTCCATTTCAGCTGTTTGTGTAAACTTCTTGTTGTAAGATCAATGAATGCCCATTTAAAAATAACCAGGGCTTTTGCCACAGTGATCTATGGACAACAATACTGTATTTTGATGCTTTGCCGAGTGGGAAAATGTGCAGAAGGGCAAAACTGCAGACAGTGATTGAGCTTATGGGGAAACTTAGAAAGCATCATGGGACACTAAGACTAAGTAAGCTAGAATGGTGGTAAGGCAAAACTGCTGCATTTACAAACCAATGCATGTTAATGGGAGTTCTTCTAATCCAGGGGGTCTCCAACCAGCAGCTCGGGAGTCACCCAGTAGCTCGCCACCCCTTCGTAGCTCGCCGAATTGATTAAGGTATGAACAAATCAAATTATATAATTAATATTCCAGTGTTAGACAATATCATAATTGTTAATTTATTATTGTAAAATTCACTTACTTTGTGCACTAGTAACAAATATGTGATGATAAATAATGAATGTGCCCAATATCAGGCTTTTTCCCACAAATGTATCACTTTTTTTCTTCTTCTCAGGGCCGCTGAAAGGAGTAGCTCTCTGCCTTTATCGTCCCGAGAAAGTAGCTCATTGTTGAAAATAAAAAAATGAAAAAGGTTGGAGACACAATGTTCTAATCTGTAGCTCGTGACTCCCCCTATGTGTAGAAAGAGATGTAGCAAGCCAAAAATAACAGCTCAACCCATTTGACACATTTCCTTGACCTACAGCATCAAGTTTTTATATAACAATCCGTGTGTTACAATTAGTGAACATTTTTCAACTACTCTAACCATAAAAGTACAAAATTGAATGGAATACTAATATGTGGGCTTTAATGGATTAACTTCCTGACAAAACGCCCCAAACATTGGTACATTTTCATTTTCGTTCACCGTCTTCTGTGAGAAAAGTAAACTCGCAGCTCTTTAATTTGTGCCTGAACGCGCCAAAGGCCAGCAAAGATCAACATGTTATGAGGCGTTCCATATTTAACAGCAGCCTGGTACAGAGGCGCTGGAGTGTGCTCGGATTCATCGCTGCAAATGGTTCGGAAACAAATCATCAGGGTAATTGTCATATTGCTTTATTAATGTGAGGGTGATTGAGGTCTGACCAGAGCTGCAATAGGTCTCAGCCTTTTACTGTAATCCGGCTTTAGGCGGCAATCAAGTGACATCACATCACATATTTTCTTGTTCTATTGGCAGATCATTTTTCTTATTTTAAGCAGTATTTTATTAATTTTCATATGTTTATTTTTCTTATTATTTCAGATATTCAGAGTTCAGATATTTTTTTCATTCTCCCCACACAGATCATAGAGACTGTAAATATTAACAAACTAGTCACGCCTTTTGAAACTATTGTGCCACCACTTTTGCCATCTTTTTCAAAATGGCCCCCTGCGGGGGGGCAGGACAATGTGATAAAAACACATTTGCGCATGCATTAGCCAACACTAGCCCCATTTCATTTAGCAAGTGCATTATGTCACAGCGGGCTAAACTAGACTGGTCCAAAAAAAAAGGCTCCACTCAGCACTCGACAAAAAAGCGGGACTTCTGGACCATCCTGTAAGACGTTTTCAAGAGGGAAGAAGACACCATACAAAAATCATTGGGTAATTCTTATTCCAGGTTACACCCCCACCAGCTATAGGAGTGAGATAGCAGCCATGTCAGCTCACGTAACATGGACCTTTTGAAGACAAAGTGGAGAGGGTGGTTCTTTCTAAAATGTGGGAAAAATCTCCTTTACACCTTTAACATAACGGAAAGCCACATACCAATACATCCCAGTGTGTGTTTACAGCTCTAACCCCCGCACTTCTCCGTCCTTAACCAGTGGTGATGGGTTCGAAAGGCACGTCCACTGATAAGCAGGGTAACTGACCGTGACTTTGTGCTGTCCGGTGAGTTTGGCCACTCGCACAGCAGCTGGGCTCTCAGACAGCGTCAGCACACAGGGCGTCTCCCCGCTCAGCACCGTGTAGTTCAGACGATTGTTCCCCGGAGCAGCAGGGATCAGGTTACGGCCCTAGAAATAAGAAAAAAAATAACAGTCAAGTAATTAGTTTTTTTATTATTCACAAAAGAACAATTATACGACAAACAACAAAGAGATGGTGATTTTATAAGGGATACAACAAATAACGTGTGTGTGTTTGTGTGCGTGTGGAACATGTGCAATAGTAATATGTAGAGATACACATGAAAATGACAAATAATAAGCAAAATACTGAATCCAATTTGATCCACACATTTTATAGTTCTGCATGGATGAAAGTACGACATTAAAGGTATAGGAGGATTATCTACTTCTTTTTATCTGTGGATCCTCAAGACCAGGGGTGGGGTTCACACTTTTTCAGCATGCGAGCTACTTATAAAAGGATCAAGTCAAAATGATCGTACCTACTACAAAAAATGCTAAATCATATATTTATTTCAAAAAATATTCTTTATACCTACAATGGTATGTTTATGTACATGCAAAACCGCATGAGCCAATATAGCACAACACAACACAATTATCTATGTACATTTTTTGTCATTACCCGAGTTTACTCTTATGACTTGCACTGAATTGAATCGGCCAGAGATGCATAAGTCTGGAAAAATTGGTGGTAACTCGCTGACAAGTTTGTCGTGGTTTAGCTTTCCTGCACTGAGCGCGGATGTTTGCGCATGTGCAGTCACCTAAGTGTCAGTAAAACATTACAGAGTAAAAACACATGTGCAGTCAACCTAAGTGTCAGTAAAAACATTACTGAGTTAAAACACACATGTGCAGTCACCTAAGTTGTCAGTAAAAACATTACAGAGTAAAACACACATGTGCCAGGTCACCTAAGTGTTTTCAGTAAAACATTACTGAGTAAAACCACAGATGTCATTTGACTGTGGTGCCATGTCCATGTGCCATGCCTGTTTTTTTTAATCCAAATATTTTTCCCTCCCTCAGTTTATAAAAATAATTTGCATCCACACATCTGCGTTATCAATCACATTCGTAACATTCCAAAACATGTGCGTGTCCTTACGTCCTGTCCTGCGTTGGGGAAAAACACCAGAAGTGGGCGGAGCTTTGATGCAGGACGCCGGTAACGGCACTTTTATTATTCACCCAGGGTTTAGAAGACATCAGAGTAAAGGACGTATGTTTACAAGCACTGACCCCGTCTCAGCCTGGTTTAGTCCTGGTTTAGTCCTGGTTTAGTCCTGGTTTAGTTGTTTTCAAGCGTGAGAGTCCCCCGCGATCACTTTGCTGCTCTCTGATGTGGGAGGTGTTCGCTGCTGCGAGCATCTTCACAGCGAACAGTTTTTTACGGTAGTATGATCCATGCTTCCAGTGATCAGAGGGAATTTAGGGGTACGTGTGGCTGTGCGAGAACGCAAAACTCCGGTTATCTCTGACTACACACAAATGCATTAACGGAGTTTTCAAAAAATCTCCACTTTGCCCGGATGTTTTTTGTATATATATTAGTTTTTAGAATGTGTAATTTTTTATTTATTTAATGCGATCTACCAATACTACCTTTGCGATCGACTGGTAGATCGCGTATCGACGTATTGTGCAGCCCCTGCTCAAGACTATTGGTACTCCTAATTGTCAATCATTCTGGTGATACGTACTCGTCAAAGAGGACCAGAGAGTTTCGTTCTTTCCTAAAATTTGGGAAATCCTCCTTTATACCTTCCTATTTAACATAAGATAAGAGAACCTTTATTTGTCCCACAGTGGGGAATTTTCAATGTTGCCGCGCACATACAGTCCAGCAGTAGAGAGCAAAAGATGGAGCACACAAAATATCATAACTGCTGTGTTTCTGAGCTAGCTCTAAATACGTCAATATAATCTATCATTATAACTGTCTAGTGATCTATACAGTGTAAAGATATACAATTATATATTTGTCAGCAGTGTTAAATTGGACAAACTTTAATTGTACTTTATGGGGAAGACACAGCTACCAGCTTCTTTCTCTGGATAAAAGTGGCAGTGAGCTACTCCTTGGTACAGATGAAATAAAAAGGTAAACATAATGGTGTGCTAAATGGATCAAGTGGTTTTTATCTTGATTATATTTTGAGGTTCTTTCACAAAGATTTTGAAATGGCACAAATGCATGAAACAACAATCTTATTTCAAGCTTGGCAAAGCATTGTATTTCTTTTTCCATTTGGCAAATCCTGTTTCAAGGACCGTCAAAAGGTTTTCTCTTCATTTAGCCATTTTGGGTTAGGGTTAATTGATTAAAACATTTCTAAATTGTGAAGTCTAATACAACAAGACAATAATATTGTATATCTGCACAAAGCTAATTCACAATTGTTTTAAAACATGTAGCTACTTGTAAAAAGCTTGTAGCTTTTTCAAACTTGTGATAGAACAAACAGTTTGGAGAGAAGTTAGAATGCATTTCATTACATAGTTTTTTTTTTTTCTATTGTGGTGAAACCAGCTTTTATGAAGTCATAATATTCTTGGGCCAGTTACAGTCATAATCTGGGACACCTTTGATTTGATCAAAATCCTATGGCAGGATTCTTAAAAAACTGAAGGAAAGAACCGCCCTCTCAACTTTTTGAACAAAACAGTAGAATGTTTCCTTTTTTTTTATATTCATTAAAGTGTAGTTTTCTCACTCCCACCATACTTCCCTATACCGTAGTATGCCACATCCAAATGCTCGTTCTACTTGCAGACCAAGTTAGCAAGTGATGTTTTGTTCTTTGAGCAAAAATGACATTTGATTCATAACAGAACATTAGAAAACGATGTAAGACTCCCATTTACAGGGGTGGTGGTCAAAGGAAGAGCAAAGAAATTATGTCTGGACTTCAGGAGATGGTCAATTACTCAAACATGAATGAGTCACCCTGGAACAAAGTCGCGGTGTGTAAAAGCCAACTATAACATGGTCAAAGGCTGTGAAACTTAGATTTTGCATGTTGTATGTCCTTTTTAAAATGGAAAGGCTGTAGATATGTCTTTCCCCCTTGTCTCGTGCCCCTGACCAATCAGCATTCTGCCTGTGTCGTGGAGTTGGATAAAACATTAAAAATAGATGAGTTTGTTGAGGTCGGAGTGATGCGGAGACGCCTAGCCCTGTCTCGGAGCACTAATCTAACAGCCTTCTTCACTTTTCTGATGTGCAAATAGGGAACAACTTTGCAAACTCGTGTTGATGTTTGGTCCTGTCATCCAGTGCGTTGTATTGAAGCTCCTGTCATGGGCCCATCACCGCCCCCGTCCTGAGCTGTCACTGCCTAGTGTCACTGTGGGGCCAAGTGCAGCCAGTGTGGAGCTGTCACCACACCCAAGCCTCTTATTCGCTGTGACACGCGCACACTTTGAAATGCACAGTGCCTTTCCTGCAGCAGCTGTTCCACGGAAGGTCACCGAGGGTCTCATGCAACTCCCAAAACCTCCAAATAGCGGGGGAATGTAGTTTGTTGTTTTGTATTGAGTGTGTGTTTGTTTTTCTTTTACGTGACAATTTTTTTTTTTATACCAACAAAGTCTCTGTGTTTAGACTTTCTTCATGTCCCAAGATATCATGATAGGCTTAGTGGCTGAATCAGAGGTAACCTTTTTTGAGGCGTTTATTAATTTTACGCACAATGACTGCCAATGGGCTGCTCAAATATGTCATTCATAAATCTGTAATACACTCCAGAGGCAAGAAATGGGCCAGCACGGTGGCTGTAGTGGATAGTATGCTCTCGTTTCTCAGTAAGAAGGTCTTCAGGTCTGGGGAAAAGGGTTCCTACAGCGACCACTGCTCCTGACCTAAGACTTAGTGGCATCAGGCTGGGTTAAAATGTAGAGAGAAAAATTGCACTACAGGAATTCCATCCATCCATTTATTTTCTTTCCCTTAATCCATGTCTGGGTTATAGGGCGTGATAATCAGAGCTGCACCTAATTCACAGAGCACCAGCCCCTCACTGATCCTCCTGCAGGTGTCCACAGGAGGATGGCTGCTCTAGTCTGAGCTGCCTAGGTCATTCAGCGGGGGCTTCATGCAAAGTGGGGTAAGTATATTGCCCAAGGACACAATGACAGCAGACATCAGTGGGAGTTGTGAAATAGATCTTGTGTTGGGCTCAAACCCACTAACCTCAAGCCCAAGGCCAATGCTTAACCAAACTGAGCCACTGTCGCTCCTCTGAGGGGATTTACTCAAAGAGATAATTTTTTAACTAAAACAAATCTACTTTGTTTTAAACAGACACACACTTACACGTTTTATAAAGAATAATGCTCATCCATGCTCCTTCAACACACACACATAAGTGATGGACTGAAGCGTTCGTTGCCAAAGGGCAAAATCATTTCCTTTATAAAGAGAAAAACAAACACAAAATCCATCTGTACGCTTGTGCTACTCGACATTTAGGGTTGTCAAAATATATAATCGGAAGTTTCCTGATGTGACATGCAGTTAAAAGAAAATAAATTCACCAATGACAAATTGTAGGGATTGTTCTATAAAGTGTTGCAAATTAAATATATTATTGTTATGGCGGGGGTTTGTGCTCTCCATGTGCACATAGTAAACCGGCAGGTGTAATCAGGCGTAGTACTTTACTGCAAATTATTTTATGATAAATATGTGTCGTGTGATGGTTATAGTTTAGAGAACCAGCAGCCATTATAGGGGGCCAATGTCAGATTAAACATAAAAGCTGGGGTATCTAACTTCTTTCAAAACTTTTGTCTCTATCCCTAGTTTTCACATGGATGCATTCTTGGTCTCTGCCAATTGGAAACAAGATTGTTTATTTTTTTTTCTAATAGAATAAAGATAGCCTTTTTGTGGTTGATACGTCAATATTTCTGTTGGGACAAACATGATCCCAAGAAAAAGTATTTTCTTGGTATTTTAGTATTTAGTATTTTTATAATGCAATTTCAGTATATTTTTAATTAAATTCTTGTATAGCCATGTCATTTTTTGCATGGTAATATTCATAACGTCCTTGAAAAAGTTGACATGGCTTTCCCAACCCTCCTCAGTGGAGTCA